TCGGACGCTTAGTTCTTTCAAAAACTGCCATGTATTGCACATTTATTTCCGTATCTTCGAAATGGCTGGGCCTGTCTTTGCCAAAAACGAATAACCACTTTTCCCAATCATTACAAATTGAATGTTTTTTAGACCATTCAAATCGGATGCTCCGTTTTCTCAAAAACTCAATTTCTATTTTCAGTACTCTTTGCTCTTTATCTCCGTAACTGCTGGACCTGCCTTTGCCAAAAACTAATCAGCACATCTCCCTATCAATAGGAATCGAATGTTTTTTAATCCATTCAAATCGGTTGATCCGTGCGCCCGAAAACGTGAACGAAAAAATGCGGACACACAAAACACACACCACATCCATTTTTTCTAAGGTATGCCAAAATGTTTAGAAACCTTCAAAACGTCGAGAAATGCAAAAACTTTCAATTTCGATTTTTGGATGATTACAATAACTTACCCTACGAGAAGTTAACTAGTGATGCATGGCATCATGCCTTAAGGCAAATTGCCGGAATTTGCCGTAGCAAAAATTAAAAATTTTAAAAAAGATTCAATTTTCTTCGCCAAAAGCAAATCGGTTGACTCGTGTTCCGGAAGTCGTCGATGAAAATTTATATCCGCACACACACGCATGCATACACACACATACATCAATTTTTTCTAAGGTATGCCGAAATGTTCAGAAACCTTTGAATCGTAAAGATATATAATAATTTTCATTCTCGATTTTTTCGCGATTATTATAACTTACTCTACGGAAAGTTGATGAGAACGTGTTTCAATAACAAAATGTATTAAAACCGATGTATTAAGATATTTTTATATATTAAATTAGGTAGTCAAGAATATGTGGTTATTAACACAAATTATAACAAACATAACGAAGATTTAATTGTATTGTATTGGCTTCTGCAGACATGTTAACTACATAAAATTAATTCCTTCGTTAGCATCATGTTTCATAACTGCGACTAATAACTGCTAACACCGTACCATGGATTAGGGAATGCAATACCGGTATTCCGCCCCAAATTTTTGGTATTTTTACATAAGCGCTAGTTGATACAATTACACTCGAGTTAAAAGTTCTCGGAACAAATTTATTTTTAAGTTCCATAATCGCATAAATAGATATATCTTAGAGTGGTTTTATAGTATAAACAAATGTCAAAATATCATCTCAGCTCGTCATTAAGCTGAATATTTATTGCTTCATATCGTGTTACAATAAATAGAACCGGACTGATAGATAATGATGTTTATTTCATCTTATGTAAAAATGTATCGATTTTTTAAGGTGACATCTGCGCCAAAATATTTTATATCAAAAATACTCACAATTAATTAACAATTTAAAGATTACCACTGCGTAATCAACTTTTTTGTGAAAAAATTATTTATATTAATCATAATAATTACTGAATATTTTTGTTTTTTATTACTAAGAATTTTAAATAAAAATACTCAACAATTATAGTACGTTGTTACATTCAATGTATGTTATTATTTATGTTGATAAAGTATCGGATCTTAAATTAGTACATAAAAATTACTGTTTTAAAGTCTTAAAATAGACTTAAACTTAAAAATTTAAATGCATCGGATACAGAAAATACAATTTATTATAATAATATAATACGATCTTTAATCATTTGATGATTTAATGATTTTAGTCAAAAGTATTCAATATACTCGATAATAATGATGAGTTAATTAAATTGGATATAATTTTGAAAAATTATTATTAAAAAAAATCTCATTGTTTAGTTGTATAGAGCTGTAGTTGTGTATATATTTTTTATATTTGTACAAGTAACTACTATTTGTTTACATTTATTTAAGATAATAAAAATACCGATATTTTACCGGTATTACCGGTATTAAAAGAAAAAGATATCGAGATACCTGTATTGAATTTTTTTATCGGTATTGCATTCTCTAGTTCAGATATTTTATTTATTTATTTACATCTTTATTATATAGACTAATACAAAATATCTAAGTGTAAGTGGCATTTTGCCTTAGGCAAGTTCCATAAACTTTTCGACATGTGTTAACAATACACTTAATCAATACGAATTGAGGATTAGCAACAATTAACAATGTGACGAAAAAAATTTAAAGCTCTGATATTTCCAAAATTTCACGATTTTTCATACTTAAACCGCATTTCGTGAGATCTGCGTTAAGGCAATGAACTTCTCATGAAAAGTTTCATCAAAATTGCAAAAAAACATCCCGACTGATCTTTAACAAAAAAATAATTAGCACAATTCCCAATGGATATTTTTCGAAGTTTTTGAATTTTTAAAATCGATTTAACATATTTGGATAAATCCTGAACTAAAAATTTCATTTTCTATATTATTACTAATTTTACACAATTAATTATAAATATATGGCTTCCGATCGTCTTGAAAAACTAATAAATTAACCTTATCAAGAATGTCTTTTAAATTTTTGACATGAAATATCAAGAAAACCAAAAATTAGCAAGTTAGATTTTCTGGCAAAAATATAAACTTCTCTTTCTGAAAGTTATTAAAACTTCTGGGATGTAAGTTTGTAGTCACCAGATTATAAGGAATTGAAACACATTCTATTTTTTCATATTTTGCAAACTTTTTACCAAACGCTACAACATCTAAATGCCAAGAGTCATATCTATTATAACATAAAATGCTAAAGTTAATATAACCTAATATGGCAAAGTTTTCCACATTACACCTCAACATGCACCAGCTTTTTTTAATTTCTACGTACGTTGCTTTGATACTAAATTAGCTAGGTTTTTGAATATTTTAAGTGATTTCTGCAATAGTTTAATTGATAGTTGGTTAGTCTATGAGTAATTAATTTATCTACGCAATTGAATTTAGATAATTATTGCATCGTGTTCATTAATATAAAACTATAAAATTAAATATTACATTTTTTTAAGTTTATATTATTTTTTTGTGTAAGATTTGTAATATGTATACGACTTAATAAAAAAGAAATGTTACTTTTATGATGTGTTCAACCGATCAGAACATTAAATCGCTTTTTGCGCTTGAACGAGGTGACGATGATTTCCACCTCGAGTCCCGGATTTTTTCAAAAACAGTATTTGTCCCGAGCTCGGGTTTTTTTTGTCCCAAATTGTCCCGAATTCTGGAAAATATTATTTTTAACATCTCAAATTTGGAGAAAGTATGTGTGTGTATGTGTGCGTGTGAGTATGCGAGCCAAAAATTGATCTTTTATGTACTTTTTCTCAAAAAAGGCTGACTTGATGTCAAAATTTTGAAATTTAATTTATGTAGCTCGATAAGGTTTTGTCAGTTTTTTCTATGCATTTTGGCTCTTGAAACTTTAATTGATTTTGAAAATTCAAGAATTGTTCGAAGAATAATCACTTCAATTAGTTATTGATAAAGATAGATCGAGTCGTTTCTTCGGTGTTGAGTTGATAGATTTTATAGTCTAAAATAACATAAAATATTATAAACCTACGATAATCGGTTGAATTATGAAAAATCACAAAAATTTTAAATTGCGCCTCACGTTTAAGCGATTCTAATCAGAATCTATGCCTTTCGTGCATATAAAAGTTCAGCTTTCGTAGTTAGCTACTGATTGCAGTTGACGTCTACACTTTGATAAAATACATTTTTAGAACCCAGCATGGATGAATTGAAATTTTTTAAACAAATTGATTTAATTTCTACAATTTCAGATATTATAAGTATGTTTCAAAGACATGAATTGGAACAATTGCTAAATCTCAATTGTTATTAAGTTGATTAAATATACGTATCGGAAAATCCATGCAACTTGCCTTAAGGCAAAATTTTACTTAAAACTAGTTCATATATATTTTTACAAAAATTGAATCAAAATGGTATTACAGCAATATTTCTTAAATATGTTAGAAGCAATATTTCTTACTTAAGATAATTACGATAAAATTGTTTATAATTTTATACCATGCTCAAAATTGGGAAAACCATAGTTAATAAAAATATGAAAAGTTTTATATAAAGTAAATCTGGTAGAAAACTGATTATTTTTAAGTTTTTTAACATAACTACAATTTTTTTCACTTCTTTCAGCAAGTTCGGGACATGGATTAGAAATGAAAAAAATATAGTTAGTTTAGCTTCAACCTTTGCCCAAAAAGAAGCGTATGAAAGTTTTGTATGGTCTATGTAAGGTTTTTAATACAGTTTATATGAATTTATGAAATTTACATTATCTGCACTAGTTTTTTTAACTGCCACAAAATGTAGATGTTATTCAATGTTCTGATTCAGTTTTAAATTTAAGAGTATATATACATGCTTCTTAAAGTAGCACTTTGACAATCTTTCAACTCAACGATGTATAAATATATATATATATATATATATATATATATATATATATATAAAGTAGTCTCTTTCTCGAAGAATAATTGAGGCACAAATACAAATGAGGTATGCAAAAAAGAATCCATATTTCAGTAAAATATGAAAATGCAAAGTTGTGCCCGGGGGCGTACTTATACGTACGCGGGGTGAATCGGTAGCATCCGGTTAACTATAATAACACAGTCCAGTCTGTATTCCGATCGATGTTTGAGCTATTTTAGGCTATAACGAAATGTCAAACCGCGACCGCGCGACTTTAAGCGTCTGCTACGATGCTACGAAGACGAGGTGCATTATAAAACTATGTACATTCGAGAATTAGAAAAAAACGATATTCAAATGTGAAGGGCGCCATCGCGCTGGGACATCCGTACTAGCAACTAGTCAATAACACATTCTAACATTTTATATTTTATTTATAAATTTTAACATTTTAAGGATGCAAAGGGGTCAAACTACATCGTTTTGTCTTCCGTCTGTCTATCACAATTTTTATTATATTGTTTATATTGTTTACACAGAATATAAAAAGTGAAGTGTACATGTCTAGAAATAAATATATACAAGATTCATACCTTCAAAATTAATATAGTCAAAGTACTTTTTTGTCCCTGTTTTTACTCAAAAAGAGTATCGTTCATTCACTTAAAATATTAAAACAAAAAATATTAATTTATACATTTCCTAATACACTTTCAATGAGAATTACATAATGAAATAAAAGGAGAAAATCTCTACATTTACCCACAAATTAATACAAAACTATACCTAAATTAATTCACATAGTATTTTATCTTACTCTCCATTAGGTAAGAAGCCAATGAGCATTCTTAACTAAATACTAAGATTTGTACAGATGTTTAGAACGCACTTAAAGTTAAATCTTTCCTCTTCCACTTCTGAGGAAGTATAGAAAGAGCTCCACATGAACGAAATATATTATGAACTGAATGGAAGATGAACTGGATCACTATAAGTTATTAATAGGGCTGGTGCCTCTGTTGGCGTCCACCACCACCACCACGTTGCTTTCCACCGCCATATCCGCCGCTTGCACCGTAGTTGGGGTAGCCAGCATAATCATAACCGCCATAACCTCCATAGCCACCTCCATAGTAATCATAGCCGCCACCGCCATAACCATCATAACCACCTCCATATCCACCCTGGTTGTAGCCACCATAACCACCGCCATAACCTCCTTGGTTACCTCCCCAACCACCTTGACCGTAACCTCCACGTCCGCCTCTGCCTCCGCGACCGCCACGACCACCGCGCATTCCTTGCATGTTGTCTGGCTTGGGAGTGGCTTTTTTCACATCTACTTCCTTACCAGCAATCGTTTCAACCATATTTCCCTCTTCCAATTCAAACCATATTACCCTCAACTCTTTCGCTACGAAAGTATTTTCCGCAGGAGTGTCGCTGCTGTACTTTTTTTATACTTTGAAATAATTTGAAACTTTTAAACTATTTTCAAAGCAATCGCGATACGTTAGCTGCATAGAAACGAAATATCGAAGCGCATGGGCGCCGCGTCGCGGTATGACAGATAAACATTGGTACGAAACCCATAGAAAAGTGAACAAAATTTGTTATTATTATAAAAATATCTATAAAATATGTGATAATTTCATGTGCATATGTCTAATGATCACTTTTGCCCGTCAAATGCTATTTTTCCACTTTTTTTATTGGATCTCCAAAACCACTAGACCTGCCTTCCCAAAAATTTTCCCAGTTCTTTATTTCGTCAATACAAATAAAATCTCTTTTTTGATTCATACAAATCAGGCGCTCCGTTCTCTAAAAAAATCTTGTAAATTCATTTTTGGCACTTTTTGCCCCGTATCTTTGAAACGGCTCAACCTGCCTTCGCCAAAACCTAATCAGCAAATCGGTTGACTAGTGTTCTCAAAATCGGCGATAAAAATTTGTATATGCACACGCACACACACACATGCATCCATTTTTCTAATGTATGCCAAAATATTCAGAAACCTTTGAAACGTAAAGGTATATAAAATTTTTCATTCTCGATTTGTTTGCGATTACTATAATTTACTCTACGGAAAGTTAATTAGAACGTGTTTCAAAAGCAATATATATATATATATATATATATATATATATATATATATATCGATTCTAACATTTTATATTTTATCTATAAATTTTAACCATTTAAGGATCCAAAGGGCTCAAAATACATTGTTTTGTCTTCCGTCTGTCTATCACAATCCAAACCATATTTCCCTCAACCCTTTCGCTACGAGAGTATTTTCCGCAGTTTAGAGATATTTCTATTATTATCTATAAAAATGTGTTAAAAAATCTAAATTTACGCTTCTAATGAACTAGAAATTGCAATAAAAAAACTAGAATTCTCAATAGATTAACTCATAGTGATAAATATTGTAGCAAAGGCAATCCCAACATGACGTCAGTACACATATAGCACATAACGAAAGGGTTAAACTAGTGCAGATTATTTTGAAACCTAGGTTTGTAAAATTAATCTATTCGGATGCATCTACAATCTACACTTAAATTTTACAGTATAAAAGTGAACAAAAAGAGAACTAGAGAAAAATTAACGAAACAAAACAAATCAAAAGCGTTACTTGGTATTCTAAGGAATACTATTTATGTTCGTTTGTCATAAAAAATACGGTATAATAACAAAATTCTAGATATTGTAAAATATAACTCTGTTTCGAACTTGATAAAATCTCCATTTACATATTCAAGAAAAAGTTTCGTTTTAATATAGTATCTTCAAGGTCTCATTTGAAAACTAGTTAGAAACTTATTATGCAATAAAACAGCAGGCATGCCAAAACTGCATAAAGACATGCGTGACTACAACTGTACTCTCAAAACAATTACATTTATTCTATTCGGTTCAAATGGTCCCTGAGCAGGGATGGGAAAAAATTATTATACCCGCTGTTGAGAAATAAAATTTCGATATGCACAGAAAATAATATGGTTGTATAATTATCTTAAGATTTATTATATCGAATTATTAGTAGTTTGACGACGAAAATGGACGACCACATTATTATACTGATACCAAATGTACATCGTTACAAAGTTTGATATCATTATCGATATTCTGAAACTATTGCTCATTTTGAAGAGTATTGAATGTCTCATTTCTCTTGGGACAATCATCTAAGAATCTGTATATATATATATCTCAATCTCAAAAACAATTGAGAATTGAGTTGAGATTTTTTTAACAAGAATATTTGAAAGTAGAGGGAAAAAGCGATTTGTCATCTTGATTCTTACGACGTTGGTATCGGGAGATAAACGGCAATGTTTAAAAATCCATAACTAAAGTATTTTCTTTCGTTGTTAGTTTTTGTGGTTGTGAGCGCTGTTGTTTAGTTTACGAAACCTTAAAATAATTATTAAGTACACGTTCATTAATAACTTCATAATATGTATTGTTAATTTTAAGTTAGATTCAACAGTTTTTCAATATAACCTCTATAAAAGCTCACATATATATGAGGTGAAAAAAACGAATTTCATCACCTCCGCGGCAAAGGTGTAAACAATAGACAACCGTCAATGAAAAAGTAAATTGAGTTAAAGAAAGCAATTTTACAAGAGATAAATCAAATAAATAGTTATTTCAACTCTGCTGGTGATATGACGAAATACCAAATCTAGGTTATATACAGTGTTATCTCGTGAAAGTTTACCCATGAAATTTATATTTTGCATTGGTTGAATAATGTTGCTATAATTTCGTATATTCTTGTTGAAATTAAAAATATGCCGTCCCATGTTACTTCGTCTCTGGGATAACAAGAATAAGGTGACAAATTTTTGAAAAACAGTAAAAAAATCACATTTCTACGAATTAGCTGGGAGTTTTTCTGAACATAAGATAGTTGTATGTTTGATTTGCGTTATTTCTTGTCATATAATTAACTTGATCTTCACAATATAATTAATCAAAGTTAAATTGGACCTTTGTGCCCCGCTTTAACTTATATATAAATATATATTAGTGGTTGCTGATAGAAAATCTCCGACTGCTATTGCATTATCTGTTCAGTTATTGCTTATGTGCTTTATACGATATAAATGGCCACTTTTTCCAATAAGCATATAAATTGTCTTTAAAAATAGAGTAATAGCTTATATATATATATATATATATATATATATGCAAATAGCAATAGAGTTGGACTATTTATAGAATTTAAAATTGATTATATTACAAAGAAAAAAATCACTATTTTCCAATATGAAACTAGTTTTCATATAAGTAAATGAATTGGTAAGCAATGAGCTACCTTATGTGATACGTTGAAAAGATAATTACTGCGTATCTTCAGCATGAATCTATAAATATATTAATGTTTGTATATGTAACGAATGTTTTTTCAAACTAATCATTATGTAAAGAGAAAAGAATCTGAATAAGAAATACAGTTCTATTTATCAAGCATAATTGCATTTGAAACTTAAAAACTTACAAATTATAATTATAATTATAAGGACTATGTTTCATATTTTTTTTTTTTAATATTCGTTGAACCACAATTACCATTAAAATGCCAAACCAAATATAAAATACTGCAAAATTAACAAAATCATTAACAATATATATATTTTGGTAATAAGAATCTTGGTAATGATTGATAAATAACGTAAATTTTAAAAAGAGTATACCATTTAGAACTTTACTGGCCAAACCGCTTTTATAATTACCGGTAATGGTGACAAATATAGCAAATAGATCCTTTGCAAAAAAGTTTTTAATGCAAAATATTATATGTATTTAATTTAATATATTTTACTTCCCATAGCCGGAAAAAATTGAAAATGAAAATTTATATATATTTCTATGCTTCAAAGGTTTCTAAACATTTTGACTTTAGTAAAATAGTATATATGTTTGTGTGTATGTGTCTGTGTGCGTATGTGCGGATATAAATTGTCGACAATTTCGAGAACACGGATCAACCGATTTGAATAATTAAAAAAAAACATTCGATTCGTATTGATGAGGAGACTACCGATTAGTATTTGGAAAAGACAGGTCCAGCCGTTTGAAGATAGGGGACAGAAAGTGCATAAAATGGCATTTCAGTTTTTGAGAGAACGGAGCGTTCAATTTGAATGATTCAAAAACATTTTATTTGTATTGACAAAAGAGGAACTGAAAAAAGGTAAGGCAGGATCAGTGGTTTTGGAGGTCCAATAAAAACGCTATTCGGAGATCAAAAATGTGATCGCATATTAATGTATATCCGTATTACTGCGACGCTTCGATATATTGTCTCTAAAACCGCTACGCAAGGCGATTGCATTGATAAAAAGCTCAAATGTTAATTAAAAAATATAATTTACTCAAACTTTTCAAAAAAAATTCAAGCATTTTAAAAAATTTTGATTTTTGGTACGGAAAGTTGCAACAATTTGCCCCAGCACGATGTTATACGATGCTATACACCACTAGTTAATATATTAATCATATTGAATCTAATAGGGAGACACGTAGTAATAGTATTTTTTCTAAACCAATACTGATTCGATAAAATATGTTAGTTATCATGTTGAACGAGACTCCTGTCATGTTGAACATTATAGATAAACGTCTACTACGAAACACAATTTTGTCTATAAAACTTTTAATATCATGTTGTATTACGTATTTAGACAACACGCATCATGTAGGCGCATTTTATTGAACTAAAGCTGCTTCTTTCCGTAGAGGTCTTGTCTCGTACGCGTTTTGTTCTTGCAATAGATCAGATAATATTCATATACCTGTGTTTTCAAATGATTTTTTGGCAAGAAGTCTTAAATATTTTATGGTTGTTAATAATTACGTTAGTTTAAAATTTTTATCGATAAGTTTCAATCTGCTTTCGTCGGTCTGCCTATATATTTGCTCGTTGAAAGTTTTTCTGTCAACGTAAGGATAATTATGAAAGCTGTATTAAATCGATAGCTCTGATATCAAAATGTTGTTTATAATTTTTTAGTAAACTATTTTTTTGGTTTTGATATTTGGGAAATCCAATTCGGAAAAGGTAATGAAAAAATGTGTATACAATGGCTGCTTGTTTTTTAGAGAAAAGATTAACCCATGTTATTTATACGAGGAATATTGTGATTTTATATGGAAAACTTAGTAATTTAATGATTTTGGATATACAGAAAAAACGTGCAAAAAAATAAATTTTTTTGAATCACTTTTCGAAAAATCAATAGGTCATTTGAAAATTTCTGTTTATAATAACAGCACCATGAACAAAAATTGCATTTTCTTTATAGTCTTTAATTTGTGATACTTTCATGCTCATATAAATATTTTATACAA